TTATAAAAGTGTTATACATGTACGTGGGGTGGTGGGTGGTGGGGGAAAGATCAGTTCTGTTCATTATATGGATATTGATGAAACATCCAAATCTAAGACATTTCAGCGTTTCATTCATTTTAAAAGTGGTCACTTTAAATGAGATCAGGATTACTCTAGAAAATGTTGAAATTAGTGTGACGTAATATATCAAACACGAAAGATCGTGTTTAACCACATTTCCAAACACCTAAAAAGACTTGCGACGCGCAGCGAAGTATTTTTGACGAACTTCGAGATGTTTGGAAATGTGGTCAAACAGTACCTTTCGTGTTTGATATATCTTCTCAATCGAAACTAAAACTAAGGAGAAAACGGAGACATAAAATCGTAAAAATCTATGCTAATTGAGATTAGATATCGAAACACCGCCACGGTCATGATTTCCTCTGTTTAAACGTGATGAATTATTAATGAGTTTTAGAAGTAACTCTAAAAATGATGCGAAGAGAGATTATTTGAAAAGGCGCGACTCATCATGAGCGAAAACGTATTTGTCATTTGTTTCACTTTATTGCTAGGGATTTGAGTTCTTCCGCGGATAATGTAACCACGCGTGTTACGTGGATGTTTTCGTGTAGGATAAAAATACATGTAAAGCTGCTCGGGGTGTCCATATTAGCAAAATCTGCGCCACGGGATTGGTAATTTCTAGACCTTTCTGTGATTTCCAAAACAGTTAGTATTGTAAAACTACCTTAATAGGGATTACCCTAGAAGTATGGCTCATATGGCAAATTAACTCTCTTACCCTTTATGCTCTCTTGTAGTAATCAATCAATTTGAAACTAAGGATGCTATAACAGTGACCAGTTTTTGCATCTTATCGGTTCTTAATAGGGAGAAAAGACTGCGCGTCTTTTGGATCTGATGAGCCCGCTAGTCGGACAGCAGTCCCTCCGCAGTTTCCATGATGAGAATGTTTTGTCGAGAGTGGAGAGTCATGCAGACAGACGAAAACCGCCTCAAGTAGGTTTGACTGTTTCAATCTCTTCATGTTAAGGAAAATTAAGAAAATTAGCGGTTGTATCCTAGGTACAGCGTTCCAAAAGTTCGCTATACTTTCGCAATTGGTGACCATTGTTGCCAACAATGATTACCCGTGATGCCGTGAAGGACAGAGAGCTCAACCACTAAAAGCTTCAACCATGTGCAGTTTGTTTTCAATTCTTCGGAAAAACTGATCCAAATTTAAGCTTAACCAATTTTTGAGAAACACTTTTACCGACTGAAATTTTCGCTACTTGTCAGCTTGATATTTAGCGGGTTAACTGAGTGGTTTGAAATTGTTTCTTTGCCCGAGCAACTATTAAGTCGCCGCGATCCAAGAAAAATTTTGATGTGTCGCTTTGTCAGATTTTTAAATAAACTTTTTTGCGCGGTTTATCGCGCTTTTGACTTCATGTAAGCCGGACGAGAAGTCTCCTTGGGAGGTTTGCCAAGCACTCAAGAAGCTAGATCGGCTATCGCCTCGTACGACTCTTACGCTTCTTTCGCGCTTGGCAAACTTTCGCGTACATCCATTTAACAAATAGATTCCGTGTTGCCGTGCGTCTGTTCAATAATAGATCACAGATGACGTCAAAATGTAAGAACAAAAAAGTCACTGATGTTCTGATGTCACTGATGTGTGTTACTGATGTCCTCTGTGGTTGGTGATTCTCAAATCAGTTTGAAATAGTGTCGGAGACACCTTTTACCTGCGATACAGTTGGCCGTGAGTTGTAGTAAGTTGTACTCTGCTTGCTGCTTTGCCCTGAAACGGACTGAAATATTCGCATCGGAAAGCAAGGTTATGTGGTTATTTTAACTGATTTTAAGAAGTGATGTTTTGATGTTTCATTCCTGACATCAATCAGTGGTCAACAGTTATCTTGAGACTGAGAAAAGTTGAATCTTTTGAATAAATTAATCTCATAAACATTTTGTTTATTGGGTTTGTTAAATTTGAGATAAGGCAAGGTTCTCGGCTTACCAAGACCAATTTTGTGCTTTGTGTAGTCTGGCTCGGCTACCGACTGAGACTGCTGGAGTATTTTTTTCTGGGTCATTTACAAAACGGCTTTATCTTTCTTCTTCCTGCTTCTCGTACCTGTTCAATGCCTCGACAAGACTTTTTTGTACCTTATCTTTTGCCCAGTCACGTAAAATATTATCTAAATTCTCAAAACTTTCCACCATTTTAAAACACAGAGAGAAAAACTTTTTAATGATGACATCAATCGTGCGTCTGTCTTCTAATAGATCATAGGCGGGAACCAATCAAAATGCAAGAATAACTTGGGTTATTATATAAACTCCATAGTTGCACACTGTACGCTTGCCATTTCTTAAATCGCATGTAGTTATCGCATGTAGCTATAGGGTGGCTGCCTATAGTTTTACGATCGCACGCGCGCTTAGCACGAAAGTTCAAGTAATCTGTGCGCGCTCAAAGGAAACGTCAGTGTTTTTCGATATTTTATGACGTCAACATAGACCCTTTTCATAACTGGCTGCCAATTTAAGTAATGATCCAGATACGAACTGCAGCATTTTCTATTGTTCAGCAGCAAAACGTCGAGTTTCCCCACATTGAAATGGTTCTGTTTTCATACAGAGAATGTAACAACCGATGAAAACTGCTTGAAGCAGGTTTATGAAATAAAATGTATTTAAACTCTATTTTGAAAGGTAGTTTCCTTTGTGTTAAAACATTTCAACCAATCACAACAGGCATAAACAAAGACAATAAACGCTTCCAATTTTCCAATGTTCCCCACACAGGGTTACTGTGGTATTTAGACTCAGAGGAGATTTTGTTGAAAGGAAGATAGTGGATCAATTACGGATAAATATATATATATACAGCTACCTGAAGTTTTGGTAGATTTTGCTGATTGAGCCAATCAGAAGTATGGTAAAACAATAGCAAAGTTGCGCAACAGTTAGCACCTGTTTGCACTCCTTGCCACGTGGTGCTATCCTTCTTATATGGACCGTTACTTAAAATTCTTTTGATTGCATTTAAATTAGCCTCTCTAACCTCGTTTGAGAGCAAAAATTCTTTCGAATAATCAACTTAAAAACGAGGTTTGTAAGGCTAATTTTAATACTTTCTAAAGAATTTATAATTGGTAGCCATTTATGAAGAGAGTCTATTGGCACAAAAAGCAGCGCTGACTGTGAATTTTCTTGCGTTTACTTCGATGAAATTCCGTAAAATTTGCAGACGGGTGATAAATACCTAACTTTAGCTGGGGCTCGTTTTTCAGGGAAATCTATCTGACCAGTTTTTCCGCAGCGCTAAAAGACATAAATGTGCAGAAATCTAAAAAAGCTGCCTTTACAAACTCTAATTTTTTTTCGTGTTTTAAATTGGTATCCCGCCGGGTTTAATGTACTGTAAAATATTTGGAAAATTTCACCGAAGGATATTCAAGAAAATCACAAATAAAGCCATAAAAACGGTAAAAAAAGCGATTGTTTGGGCATTTATAATTCAAGATTAAAAGAAATGATAGTAAATCAATATATCATCATTGCTCATTACGTGTAATAAGTTTGAGACGACTGGGTGTTAAAACGAATGCTTAAACAGCTTTCAAAACATTACACAAGCGCGCTGAACTCGATAAATCAATACCCTGTTGAGCCACGTTAAGCCTCAGATTGTCAAAGGTATTTTACCACATCACATCGATTTAGTTTGAGATTCAAAGTGTAAAATTTATCGTACTTATAGTGATAACCAAGTAAACCAAGATATCAATTCAAACTTAAAGAGGCTGAATATTTTTTAACCTCCACGGTTCGGCATTCGAAAACACTTCCAAAAGGCACAAGGAAAACAATTTGAAAGAGACTCGCTTATTAAAATAAATCACACAAAAGGAAGCTTGGTGTTGAAATCGTGAGCATGTTGAAAAGCTAAATCAGGTTTTCCAACTTCTCGCATTGTTGAGTTACAATAACGCTGCGTTTATTTGAATGCTTTATTGCGGTTTCACGTCTAAATTAGAAGCAATTATCATGTTATTATGGTGACTTTTAGTTTAGCGGCAATCTTGGTTTAATCAAGGTGTCAATCTCGACACAAGAGGCATGTAGCAGCGACAAATAACGCGTTCTGCTCACAGTGGAGGACACTGAGCAGGGAAATGTAACTTGTGGCAGGGACGAAAGCATCGCAAAAAAGTGTAGGAAGAAAATGGCCGAGGGATATATTGNACCACTACCACTACCACTACCACTACCACTACCACTACCACTACCACTACCACTACCACTACCACTACCTCTACCACTACCCCTAACCCTACGACTACCACCACCATCACCACCACTACCACTGCCACTTACACTACCACTACCACCACCACTAATACCACTAGAATTATTATTTTTATTTAGAGAGCGGACTACTTTGGACCTTAAGTAGCCGTGACTTTGCGCGATTTTGTGCGACTTTTGCGATTTGAGGTGACTTTAGGCGAATTAATTAACATTGGCAGAAAAGAACATTACGACTTCATACAGTGTAGGCAAGACTGAAACGCATAGCCTCGTCTCTTTCAATTTAGGGAAAAATAGTTCCACCGATCTTATAAAGACGAGGTTGTACACGCAGGAGAGGCAATTGCCATGGAACATTATTTGGGGTTCAGGAAATGCTGTTTACAGTTAAAAGAGGGAGACGTATAACATTTCAGGTTAAAAATTATTCACTTTAATTTCCTCAGAACTTCATAACACGTCTCTGCTTTCAATTTACTTGACAGTTGTCAAGTTCACAAACCAAGTTCACAAGCCTATCGTCTCAACGGAAAGTGAGTAATAATTCTTACACCAGCCCTGAGAAAACCAACTCCAAGGAGAGCTTGTGGACGTTAGCGTTGAACCAGGGGTCAAAAAAGCCACTGGAGGGTACCCCAAGGACTTTAAAACCAGAACGGCGAACGTCTATTAGGCCGCTAGGCGGACAGCAGTCCATCCGCAGTTTCCATGATGAGGGCGTTTTGTCGGACGACGAGAGTCATGCAGGCAGACGAAAGTCTTCTTAGGTAAGTATGACTGTTTAATTTGTTTGTGATAAGAAAAACTAGAGGAAATAAAGTATGTGTCTGAGTGTATGTATGCTTGTATAGGTGAATATCTTATCAAATACCGTTTCAAAAGTTTGCTATATTTTCGCATTTGGTTATCGTTGTTGCCAACGATGATAAGCAAATGCTTATTAGAAATACGCAAATCACAGAGGATCCGCCCTAGATTTTCAGATCCAGCATAAAAGAAATGTTTGGCAGTTGTTATTTCGAGTCGGGAATGTCAAATGAAGTGCGGAGCACATATTTGAATGGTTATTTTTAGGTTTCGGAAGTCAGCGTGGGGTTTCTAATTCTGCTGTTCACTTTGTCTTTACTTTATATATTCGAATGCTAATTCTGTATCGCACGTAGACATCTTAAGCCTCAGATAGTCAAAGATATTTTACCACATCACATCGATTAGTTTGAGATTCAAAGTGTAAAATTTATTGTACTTATAGTGATAACCAAGTAAACCAAATGCTAATTCAAACTTAAAGAGGTCGGATATTTTTGAACCTCCAGGGTTCGGCATTCGAAAGTACGTCCAAAAGGGCACAAGGAAAACAATTTGAAAGAGACTCGCTTATAAAAATAAATCACACAAAAGGACGCTTGGTGTTGAAATCGTGAGAATGTTGAGAAGTTAAATCAGGTTACGCGCTTTTCTAAACAACGGGCTTTCACAAATGCTAGAGACCCTTTACCTTTTCGCGGGCGCTGTCAATGTCTCAGCTAAGAAGGAATTGACTTCTCCACGCAGCAGTCTATCCCTTTAATTCTGGATGGTGATTATGTCACATTTTTGTTTTCCAACTTCTCGCATTGTTGAGTTACAATAACGCTGCGTTTATTTGAATGGTTTATTGCGGTTTCACGTCTAAATTAGAAGCAATTGTCATGTTATTATGGTCACTTTTAGTTTAGCGACAATCTTGTTGGTTTAATCAAGGTGTCAGTCTCGACACAAGAGACATGTGGCAGCGACAAATAACGGGTTCTGCTCACAGTGGAGGACACTGAGTAGGGAAATGTAACTTGTGGCAGGGACGAAAGCATCGCAAAAAAGTGTTGGAAGAAAATGGCCGAGGGATATATTGGGTGAAGTAACTATACATGGCCCAAATCGAGTTTTTAGGAAACAGTCACAATGATTTTGAAATCACAATGATTTTGAAATCAGACTACTTAGTTTTTATAAACACTAAGTGTTCTTTTCTTGAAAATTATAATTAATGAGAGCTATTTTTTAAGGTTTTCGCTATAAAACAGATTCATGCAATCCTGTGCATTGCGTTTGATGAACGTATCTTCTTTTCCAGGTGTGTGTTGGTGTTAGCACAGAAACTACGCCTCTGCTCAGTTCGGCAACGCATGACTGTGCGGGGAAGGATGTTTGCTGTAAAGGGTGTGTTCTTGTCTAGCGCGTGATGAATGATGGTCATGCTGCTGCTTGGTGAGACTACGTATGAGCCTGCAGGGAGGACTGTTTGCGGTCATAATTGCGAGTGTATTTGTATCGAGGAAGTAGTACGCCTGAACCTTGTGATTCTCGTTCTACTGTGAATGAACGGTTGGAGTGCACTTCGTCTGGAACCTCAGCAAACTGCTCCGTGGCCTTGAGGCTAACT